CGGGCGGGAGGCAGAGAAGCGATATACTTTGGATAGATTGTGATTCTTCTCTGTCATATCCCGCCGGACCGTTGAATAGCGGTGATAGTAAATCTAGTTTAGGTTAAATTGCCCGAAGTGCGCAAGGTTGGAATTTGTTTGCGACAAGAGAAAAAGTGCTCATGTTTGGGTGCCGGCGGCATGATTTCCGCATGATACCGTCAGTCGCAAAAAAGACCTTTCAATCACATGAGCCTATGCCTCTATTGTTGAACAGCGAAAGAACTCGAGTCAAGTCAAGAACTGTTGTTCGAAGGGCAAAGATAAAGTGCCGCAGCATGTGCCGCAGCCAGTGGCTGCGGCAACCTGCGGCAATTATGTTACATTGCCGCAGAAATAAAAAATAAAACTGAGTATATCGAAGGCCACAAAGATATTAGAGCTTCAAATTCTTGACAGCATTGGTCGTTACATACTCTTGTACATGGCCCCCGCAATGCTCAGTGCCTTGGGGCCTTAATAGATGACTTGGCTGCGGCAACCTGCGGCAACCAAACAAATGCAAAGTGAGAGGCTGCGGCACTCTGCGGCAATACATGCGGCAAACTCATAAATGGCTGCGGCAAACTCGCGCATGGCTGCGGCAGTCTGCGATTTTGCCGCAGCCATTCTGCGCCAGTCTGCGGCAACCAGGCGCGTGACACTACGGCAGTGTGACATGTCTGCGGCAGGTCTGCGGCAGTACCCTGTATCCTGCGGCACTATGCAGCGCCAGTCCACATGCACATCGCAATACTGACAGAACCACGTTCACGCAATAAAGCCCCTTCCTAATTTGATTCATCACTGCCAGGCAGTCAATGTCCCAAGTTCAATTTCTTTTTACTCACTGTTCAACTTTAACCGTGTTCAACGTCGTCGTCACTCGCTAGCGCACTATGTCAGCCAATGGCTCCCTAGCGTCGCTGCATGGCTGAAAACGCCAAAAATCATTAAAGACACTGAGTATTGTATATACTTGTGATTTGAATCGGAACCCCGGTAACAGTGTGTTCAAAGCGATGCTGTCTACAAACTCTCGTGTGGCCATTTCAAAAAATTTTACCCAATGATTGAATGACTACGAAAAAAGAATAGACCAAGCCTTGATCCCCACTTATTCCATGGCCCAAACTAGTTCTCGATCAATATAAGCAGCCTGCGGCATTGTACATTGCTGCGGCAATCTAAGGCGGATTTTTTTTCACGGTCCCTAGACCGATTAAATTCATTCATATATGTCCGGATTTGTTCACGGAATCCAAGCGAAGGTATTTGACCTTCTGGCCTACAACACTGTGTCAAATTCAATTGTGGGACTCACTGCGGCAATCGCTCGAAATGTCAGCCACTCTGCGGCAGTCTTTTTTGGCGGTAACCGAATTTCATGGATCTTATTTCCAAATTCCGGCAATATCTCCCCGAGATATGTCGCCACTTCTCTGAGTGCGAAATTGGCCTAGAATTCAACCGTGAGAGTCGCCACGGTGGTAGTTCAAAAAAGTGGCTGCGGCAATAACACAGCCACCCTGCGGCAGTCTTGCCTCAACACTGACTTTGACTTTTCCGAGGTTCCAGAAAATATATTTGCGGCATTGAAATTCCTAACATTGCCAACATCAGTGTCGAGTCGTAAATATTGTTGGTGACGTTGATTGTGATAGATTAGAGCCTTAGGTGAACTCAATACATTCGTCTGTAGTGTCCTGCGGCAACCTGCGGCAGTGCTGCGGCAGCGTGCGGCAACATCGGCACTTTCACCGTGCCCTTGTTCGAAGCCTCACTTGGACTCGGAGCACCACGGTGACAAACTAAATTGCAAGTAAATTGACACTCTCGAATCCTCGTCGTACACCCAATACTATTCATCCACCGGACCCCGGTGTCTGCTCTAAGGCGTTGTCCATCGATCAAAACCTGACGTGGACGCCTCGGCATGTTTTTCCTCGACGATGTTGGTTCCGACGACTCGATGACTATACAGTGCATCTGCGCCTGCCCTGGAAGCCGGCCAACTTCACGACTGTCGAGTTCTTTGACTTGGGTCTTTATGGCGGGAAACTTGTGGGCTTCCCCATTTCATCTTCTCCCTCTCGCCGAACCCCATGCAAACGCTCCAATGGATCACACAATCCCGAGTGCGATTCCCATAGCTGTTCTAGTTTTTAAACAACCCTTCGTTGCACACATCTGCAGACTACTTTATAATGTCAGAATGGCCCCTCGGCACATCAGTACGGCGGTTGCACACCCTAAAATGCACATTTCTCTCTCCCAAACACTGCGCTCCAGTAACTCCTAGACTTAGTCTGGCTTGCTGTGGGGGGTTCAGCCTAGCTGAGTGTAGGTGCCCAAAATGCCTCTGTCTAGGCACCTACACTTATTCTGAGTTCTTCTGATGGCGGATCAGCCTTAGATCAGCCTAGGTCATCGATCCCGCCTCTGTGTCCAGACATATCCCTGTCTTGTGTGCTCTAGACAGACCTGGAGGCTGGTGAGGAAGCGCCGCAGCGCGAAGGTATGTATATAAGGCCACAGCACCTAGAATGCGACTCAGTACGAACAGGAGGTGAAATCGGTGAATGGGGTATAACACTGGGAAAGATTAGCTTGCATCCGCGCGTGCCCTTATCTGGCAGTTGTTTACCATCAATTTTGGGTTCATATCTGATCGGATGTGGCTCCCAAACCCCTCTCATCCCTCCATGCAACTAAAGCGACAGTTATTTCACCAAGTCAATTACTTGGGGTTGTAGGCCGTGGCTTCGCCCGGCAAAAACTCGTACTTGAGTTTAAATAGAATAAAATCCAAGGTAAAATCTTCTTTGAAGCACAGATCTAATTTTTTCGTAGCGAAAAACTGCCCTGACTAGCAATGATCGATGGAAGACCAGCAGCTTTAATTTTGTCTTTGTTTGGTTGGCAGACATTGTCAGTTCCAGTTTTGAAACCACTGAGGCATCTTAATATGGGCTGTTACACTATGTGAATAAAATGATTGACCGATGGGTTTTGAGCCATTTCTCGACCACCCGAGCCTATTTTTGGATGAATTCAAAGGCTACATTACTCCGAAAAACGAGCCCGACATTTTGGATGTATTGATGGGATCAATCTTTACTGATCCGCCATCACGACAGGCGGATCTTCAAAACCAGGTTTTTTCAGCTCCTTCACAGATTTTTTGGGGAAGAGTCTGAGTTAGAGTTTGAGCTTGTTCTAAAAGATTCCACAGCTTGAACCATGCGAAAATATTCAGGCAATAGCCCGCTATGCGGCTCGCAAAACCGATATTTTGACCAGTTTAATGATTTTGAGCTATTTTTAGTGATTTTGGCCCTTTTGCGCCCCTTGTAGCGTGATATTGCATGTATATTTCTCCATGGTCCAACTTGCAAAAGTTAATTAGACACTTTGAACATCAATTTGGGTGACTCAGATCGTTCCTGAAAAAATCCGTGATGGAGTTGAAAAAAGCGGGTTTCAGAAATCTGCGCGCCACGATGGCGCATCAAAATATATTGATCCCATCGCTGTTATGGAAACCTCAGGCTCCAGGAATAGCAGAAAACCCATCGGTCAATCATTTTGTCCATATAGTGTACATTAAATCTTAGTTGTAGGAAATGCATAGAACAGAGGTTATTAGTTGACCCTCTAAACTACTTTTGTAATCAAAGAAAATCAATACTTGAGCAAAGATTGTACTTGAATTCAACAAATGAAAGCTCCACATAGTTGAACTGAAGCTCGAACCAAGAGTGCCAAAATAACCTCTAATATCTGAATCTTCGAACTTCTGAGACCAGATTTATTATTGTCAGAAACCTGGCCTCAGATGTTTATTTGGGGGTATCATGGCTACATTTTGTACTGTAGATGCGAACTACGTCCTTGAGAATTGAACAAGCCTTAGGTTTTTTTCGGCCACAGATCAAATTAAATCGCTGATGCGATCGGCGATCCGAGGCCGAGCGACCGCGCTTGCGCAGCAAGCCACTGCCCTGACGTCTGGAAATGAGACTAGGAGACTAGTATATGTTTACAAGACGTCTATGGCATCAAGAATACTGCAGAACACCGTCATTGCGTTTAACTGCGGGTCGCGCCGATCTTGGTGCCTAAAGTGCGGCATTTGCCGTGATAGCATCAGAAAATATGTCGGCAATCCGGTAAAGCTCTAGTGTATTCGTTTTTCGTCAGAGGAGCATAAAAAATGAGCTGGAAACTTAAGAATTCAATAATGAACCCAACCATGTGGCTCCGGAACACATACACCCAGCGGACAACGAGTTATTAGGTGCCATCAAAGTACAAACAAATAAGGCTCAGAGCCTTAAGAGGGTCAGTAAAAAATGTGATGAAACTGTAAAATCGGTTCAACACAGCCCCTAGAATCATTAGCATTTTTTTCGAGGAGACAAGTAAAAACTTTTCTCAAAATTTTGCCGCTGCGAGATCCTACGAACAAGCATTATGTAAACATAAGTACTCGTAAATTCTCCCTCCATCATCCCTGTGTGCAGTATTTCCCGCAACGACTGCCCCATACCCATTTGAACGAGGATAGTTTTTTATTTGGCACCCACCCAAAAGCCCAGAATAATCACGCACCTTCCCAAGGACAGGTAAATGGGAGGAAGACCTGATAGCGAAGTTGGCATCGCATCCACTGCACCTGTCTGAGGCCGCCTGCATCATTTCGGTGGAAATCCCTCGCTCAAATCGAGGTTAGGTCCTGTGTCCATTGCTTGCCCTTTCTTTCTTTCTTCTTCAACCCAAAAAGGCTGAAATAGTCAAACACCTATCCAAGGGCAGCTAAAGAGGAGAAAGACCTGATAGCGAAATTGGTGTTGCATCCACCCTAGTTATTGTTGGACAAGAGGTGAAGTGGAAGGCTGAGGTTAGGCCATGTCCCCATACCGTGTTTTTTTGTCCAGAAATAATTTCACACTACTTTTGGTTTAACTAGAAGGGAAGAAGACCTAATAGCGAAATCGGCATCGCGTCCACTATACTTGCAACTTTGAGCACGCAAGGAGTCAAAGTGGAAGTCCCTCGTTCGAACCGAGGTTAGGTCATGGCCGATGTCTTTCGTTCTTTTTTATACACCCCACACAACAGCCCGAAATAATGACACACCTATTCAAGGGCAGGTGAAGCAGAGGAAGACCGAAATCGGCACCCTCTGCTTCGTGAATTACCGCTGTGCGGAAGGCCCTCGTTCGACTCGGGTTGGGCCATGGCCGATGTCTTCCCGTTCGGGTATGTTTGAGAGTTGTTGTAAATATCTTTAGGGATCTTACTAAAAGAAAGCAAGGGTGGAGAGGTCCCTCCGGTGAATTTTGAGAATCAATTGTTTTTAACTCGGAATGTTGACAATATTGAACTGGAGTAAACACATTGTTGTCCCTTCGACAGAAAAAAGATTGCTAGATGAACCCAGGCTTGAGTTACTTGAGTTATTGAGTTATTTGAGAGGAAGTGAAACTGGCATCACTGCATCCATGGCGCATTCGGCTCATTGGAATGAGATGAGAGCAGAAGTTCCCAGTTCTATTCAGGAGTGGACCATGTTGATACCCGACATTCATTTAAAAATTGTGGCGGTGGGCGCAAAGATCTGAAGTGGTGGGGAGGGCCTACTGATGAAATTGCGTCACTGTTGAGCTTGAAGAAAATTGGAAACAAAAACTCCGCATCGTAGTCGAAAATTTACTAGACAGACGCATACTGGTGAAACTAGTATCACATACGCCTTAAAGTTAAATTAAATTTGAGTGTCAGGAATGAGATGCGCAGCGCAAGCGAGTTTCGATTATTTCATCTTGAGGAAGTACTCCGATCCACGAAAAGATACAGAACCCTAATTTGCTCTTTCGGAGTCCCCTGCCCGTTACACACAAAAGTTCACCTATCGTGATTAAAGGAATGATGAAATTGACTGCGTGTGTGGTCCAGTGTCCAGGTAAATACCTAATTTCGCGTACAATAGGCGAAGGGGCATCGGGATGCTGGCCAATTATTACTGTACTTTCTCATTCAATTCGCCAATTATCATGGTGCATCACATGTACAGCAATATATGTTGCCTAACATTTGTTTATGGTACTCACAAAATATCGGATTGTTTCAGACTCAGGCTTAGAAAAACTTTGATCAAATATTCTTTTCACCGCAAGGTACAATACAACACTGTTCAATCAAAAGAATTCTCAAACGAGATATGCCGCATCAACCCAGCTGGAAAAATCGCTTCCAACCGCACTCGAAATGCTGTAGCTGGTTGCCTGACTAGCGCTGAGAACTGTGGCGAAGCTAGGCCGGGTAGCTCTGGAAGCGCCGCTACCCGTAGTGTTGAATTCGGCGAAGAACACATTACTGGTGCGCTCGTCGCCGGTGTTCCAAATCGACCATAGAGCCTTGTTCAGCGGCGCGTTTACCAGGGTGTTTTTGAAGATAACCCTGGCGATTCCCCATGAACAGGCGAAACTTCGAATAAAGAAAAGATCCAACATACTTGGCGAAAGCTATGAGCACAGGAGTTAGGCGTGTAACGAAGAAATTGCTGAAGATGTCTTACCTCCCCAAGGCCTGCCAAGATAGTTTCCTCCACTGGCACCGGAAGCAGCACCGGAAGCAAGAACAATAGTGTTTGCGTTGAAAACGTCTAGAAAGCATCAGACCAGATATCATGGACATTAAAATGCGCACAGCTTCCGGCATCGTTTGACTCTCTTCCACTGGCAGTTATGCGGCCAGGTCCTTTGATACCGATGGTATTCCCACCGAAATATGCTGAACCTCGGCGTCCAAAAATGAAATCAACAGCACCCTGAAAGCGTCCATCAGCTTATTTCTTTCAATAGTTCCACAAACAAAGAACGTGTACCTCAATATAACCTCCGAGATATACCTGTGTCCCCTCATTCGCGTAGAGCGTATCCTGGTATCCAAAGAATCCACAGGCGTACAAACCCACCCGGGATCCATATTGGCTGATCGCGATGGCTTGCGACCCTACCCCGAACGTGTTCTTGACATGAACATTGTACATTTTAAAGTCATTTTTGTGGACACGCAGAGTTCCGCTGAGGTCATCTGAGCCTGCAGTGCTGGCAGGAATACCAGCGGTGATGATCACTTGATTTCCAGAGTAGGTCGTTGTATCTGTTGTGTACCCATAAATCTGTGGATATAGAATTAGACGAATGAGGAAGGCGTAGTACTGTTAAATACCGTAAGTGGTCCTGCGCGACTAATGCTGACTTGTTCAGCATAAGTGCCAGGGAAGATGAATACGGAGCGAGAGCTGCTGTCATTGGGCAACGAATTCAGAGCAGCATTAATGGTCGCAAATTCCCCAGAAGTCGTAGTTCCTTCGCGAACGACGATAGCTCCAGACGGAGGAGTAGTCCGAGAGGCAGCTAGAGCATATTGTACAAGAGACAGGGAACAGGCCAAGACGGAGACTGGCAGTGAGTGCGTCAAGTTCACCATAGTGGAAGATCCCAGGAGTAGTGTGGATAAATCAGTTCGTTGCCTTTTTACGTAGGCCCTTCGGCGTTTTTACTGAAGCTCACGGGAGAGATCAAGAGATGAATCGGTGAAGCACTTCGGAAAAACGGCCGCCGAAGAAATAGATACGCGGTCACGTTCTCATATTTCGTCAAAGAAGACTGGAATCAAACTTTTGATAACTTGGAGGATATCGTGGCTTTTAAAGAAAATCCTTAGTCTACGCATATTTTGAGATTGAATTCGCTCACAAAGGCGAAAACCAAGTTTCTGCGATCCAAATGCTACCAATGCATGAAATTTCTACGCGATATGCACGCCTGAAGCACGTCAGCAGCGCCGGCTGTAGACACGGTCCGGAAACTCACCTGATTTCAATGTAAGAACGCATCCAGTAATTCCCTATTAAGTGAATCCCTTGTTATTCACCGCATCATCCCTCTCTGCCGTCGACGTCGGTGTATATGTAATCCGAGTTGGCCGCAACAAAGTGAAGGAGGTAAAAGGGAACGCTCCCGCAGACCTGAGAAGAATAGATATATCCAGCTGTGTCGAAGTCGGAGAAGCCCCGCGTTATGCGCGATCGAATTCGCTCGATAGCAAAAAAAAACTAAATGTCTGCAATCCAAATGGTACAAATGAAAACTTCTACGTGATGTGCAAGCCTGGAGCACGTCAGCAGCGTCGTGTATAGACACGGTCCGGAAACTCACCTGATTCCAAAGTGAAGACGTATCCGGCAATTCCCTCATAAGTTAATCCCTTGTTATTCATCGCATCATCCCTCTCTGCTGTCGATGTCGTGTATATGCAATCCGAGTTGGCCGCAACAAAGTGAAGACGATAAAGGGGAATGCTCCCGCAGACCTGGGAAGGACAGATATATCCAGCTGTGTCGAAGTCGGAGAAGCCCCGCGTTGTGCGCGCAGCGTCCCACTCTGCTGGGAAGTGGTCTAGAAAAAGATGTATTGACCCGTTGATGAGGCAAAAAAAGGAACTGTGGAAGGCTCTGCAGTAGGGACACTGAGAGCCACCACGCCCGTGAAGTCGTAGCCAGAAATTGCGATGGAATCGGTAACGTCGACGTTCTGGATCGTATAGCGGTGCACGGTCTTGGGTGCATGATAGAGCTGGTAGAAAAATTGACTCGCAGATCTAGAAGCGCAGAGACTCTAGGAAAGCTAGACAAGACTCTCGCCCCGCTCCCCCGCTCCCAACCCCTCCTCCTGCGCGTGCGGGTGAGGATATGCACAGACTGGAAGAATTTGCTTGTGAAATTGTGTGTGCAGGACGGATGTCCACCCTCACGGCAGGGAGCGTCGTCTACATCTGCTGACCTTGTAACCGCACCTGCTGCGCCTCCACCTGCCCCTTATGCGCGCACTCACGCCGGGATAGAAGCGCGTACGCGTGCTGCCGCGGGCGCCCTCGTTATACGCTGCCAAACCAAAGACGACTGTGGCTGTGGCTGCAGGCCAAAGCTAAAGAACCCTGCACCAGTGACACCCAGCCCGTGTACACGCCGCCGCCGCCGCGAGCGAGCAGGACGACGCGGCGCAGGTACGGGCATAGGCGCCGTCGTTGCGCGTGTCTGCGTTGCTACTATCTGCGTCAGCGCTGATGTGCCGGTGTCGCCGTAGTAGATGATGGCCCCCGGCGATCCAGACGCGGCGACGCGCCCCCGCTCCCGAACGAGCCCGCCCTGTCCATGCGCCGTACGGGTACGGGCATAGGCGCGTCGATCCGCGAGTCTGCGCTGCTGTCTGCGACGGCGCTGATATGCCGGTGTCACCCGGGTAGTAGGTGATGGCCCCCGGCGATCCAGACGCGGCGACGCGCCCGCACTCCTGAACGATCCCAAACGACCCCGCGGTGTCCATGCGCCGTACCAATGTCGGCCATCGGCGCTGGTTCCGTGAGCGTGCCAAGTGCAGGTCCAGGTGGGGGGTGCTCGCGGAGTCGGGGTGTATATGGACAAAGACGGAGATGGTGTAGAAGGACGTTGGCCGTCGAAGGTGGCGGCCGTCATGTCGAGGCGTATAATGTATGGCACGACGAAATACACCGCCCACCCGCGCGACGCTTCGCCTTCCACCCCGCACCTCTCCGCGCACGTCTTCCTCGCTCCCTTGAGCGTCCCCTGTATCAGCTTCATCTGTTTTCCCTCGCCATCTCCCGCGACATGGATGGTCGTCGCGCTTCTCTCGTTCTCTACTCCTACTTGCGCACCGGCTCCTCCGCCCGTCCCACTCGCGGCGTTGGTGTCATATTCATTCATACCCACACAACTGCCACCCCCGTCCGGCATTGCCATTCACTTGCGTACTCGTCACAAGCATGCCGCCGCTTCCTCCTCCTTCCTGCATCACTCTGATTGCGCGCTGCACGGCTGATTTCGTCAGCGGTGGTAATCTCTCCGCCCTTCTACCACCCCCGTGCACCCACTAGCGGTCGGCGTCGCCGTCACCAGCCACACGACCAGCCTCCACCGCTCAGGTCGTCGTCGTCGGGGCTGGCGGCAGCGGCGGCGGCGTAACACTTCCTCCTCTACGATTCAGCGCGGAGTTCGCGCTGCTGTGCGGTCCACCGTCGACGGCGATCTAGGTTTTACGTGGGGCACAGCTACGAGGAGCTACAAGGGGGAAGGGGGAGGTCAGTATTATCATGAGTACAGAATATGAGAAAAGGAGGGGGAAAGGAAGGAGGGGTACGGGGAGGAGGAAGACTTTCGGGAGCGGGGGAACGAGCAGGTGGGCAGGAATGAGAGGAATGCGAGACGGAGAGGAACGCCGGGATGCGGAGAAGGAACGTGGCCAAGACGAGGAAGAAGGCGGGCGAGGGAGGTAACATGGAAGCATAAGTAGACAGGAAGAAGGAAGATGAGGCGAGCAGGAGAAGGGTGGGACGGATGAGGTCCGGCGCGGGGACAAGGTGTAAGATGAGGAAGCGAGACGAATGGATGAATAATGAATTGATGATTCGTGATATGGTGCAAGAATCACGACATGGGGGATGAGGCAGGGAAGAGCGGGGAATCATGGGGCGGAGTGGGGCGGTATAGGCGAGGAGTGGAAGACCGGGAGGAAGGTGACGGTGAAGGATTGATCTGAGAGGATAAAGACGGAGCGCGACACTCGCAGGAAATTCCCGCGCGCGATGTCGAGACTCGCGAGCTTGAGAGGCGACGACTGTGGGCGTAGGCAGCCTCAATGTCCTCGATTTTGTAGTAGAAGATGGGGTGCTGCGAGACGTTGGTGGTGGTGAGGGAGTGTCTGGCGGGGCGTTAGTGTCTGTTGGTGGCATTTGAGAGGGGAGAGGGGAGAGCGAAAGGAGTGGGGTATGGACATGAGAACGGCGGCGAGGGTAACGAGGAAGCCGAACGACGCAGAGCCCGGATAAAAACGCAAGAGCGCAGGTGCACCAGTCGCCAGAGACGCAGACTCGTGACGCCGGGTAGATACAACGCAGGTCCACCAGTACTAGTCTCTAGATTGCAGAATAACAAGAACGCGCTGCCCGCCGAGTCGCCAGAAAGATCCAAGTAATCGCCGCTTGCTCACCTTCCTCTTCGTAAGCCCGCTTTGAGCTTAGAGCTGTTCGTCAAGCTGCCAACCAGCGTCCTCTCCCGATGCCGATCTACCCCCAGCGTTCCCTCCCCGTCCCCGCCCCCGCGCGCCTGACTCAGCCCCGCCTCCGCCCTCACCACCGCCCTCGCCCGCATCCCTTATAAGTTACAGCATAGCACACGCACTCAGTGCGGTTCTCCAGATAGTCTGTCGTGATTTCGGGCAGCGCCGTCGTATGTGGAGGAACGGCAGGACTTGAAGAAGCAAATCAAGGTTTGGTCGTGGATGGTCTAGAGAGACCGCGGGGATTGGGCAGAGAGCACAGCCCTCCTCTTAGTCAGCTCAGCTCTCTTTCTTTTTCCCCGTCCTTCACGTCTCGGTACCTCGTCGTCCTCTTCTCATATCCACTATCTTATTTCATACTACGTGCTCCCGTACCCTACGACCGTCCTACATACCGTCGTATGTGGAGGAACGGCAGGACTTGAAGAAGCAAATCAAGGTTTGGTCGTTGTTTGGTCGTGGCGGGATTATGTCAGCTCCGCCGGCTTGCTTCCGCCCACCATCCCCGTCAGCTCAATGACTGCGTGTACTTGCAGCTGTCTTATCGCCTCATGCACTATCCTTTCTGCTGCATCTGATTTCTCTCACCGGCAAAATCTGGGCAAAAATTAAAATTGCCTGCAAAATGCGCAAAAAAAAAATTTCACACTTGATTCACGCACCACCCCAAGCCCCGATTTATATGAACAAGACCCAATAGCGAAATTGGAATCGCATCCACCTCCTTTATAAAATTGCCTCCTTCGCGTCTAAAGTCTACCTGTGGAAGTCCCGCGTTCGAACCGAAGTTGAGTCACAGTGGTCATGGTGCATGTTTCCACAGGCTTTTTATTTTCTGTCGTGTTTTTATTTTTCATTCAACCCACACAGAAAGTCTGAAGCGATCTCACTGTAGCAAGGTGCAAAATTATACCCACAAGAACCTAATGGCGAAATTGGCATCGCATCCACTGCACTTGTATGAGCAATTAATTGATGCTTATGTGGAAGGCCCTCGTTCGAATCGAGGTTAGGTAATTGAGGGATTTGGCGAGTCTTTTTATTCTCTTTATTCTCTCTCAGACTTGCACAGTACTCGAAGTCTGGGAAGAAAGGAGGAAGACCTAATAGCGAAATTGATATCGCGTCCACTGTACCTGGCCCAAGTGTCAATTGCAAAGTACCATTGATGTGGAAGTCCCTCGTTCGACCCGAAGTTAGGTCATGACAGTAGTGTTCTAAGCTCTTTTTTGCTGTCAGCCAAGATATACTAATCCGAGGCTAAGGAAAGAAAGGTCCAGCAATGGGGGATCAAGACCTTAGTGAAATTAGTATCCGTGTCCACCGCACTTGAGCGAGCACATCGGTGCTTGTGTACATGGAAGTCCCTTGTTTGAATCGAGAACTTTTTTTATTCTAAAATAATCACGCACCACCCCAAGCCCCAATTTATATACACAAGACCTAATAGCGAAATTAGCATCACATGCACTCCACCTGGCCCCTAGCTTTCCGCATTATGTGAAAGTCCCTCGTTTGACTCGAGGCTATGTCATGTTAGAGCTTCTACCTGTTCTTTTCATTCACCACACACAAAGAGGCTAAAATAGTCGGAGATCAAGCCAGGTTCGAGTTTATAGGAGAGAGACCTAATAGTGAATTTGGTATCGCGTCCAGTGGCGCTGGAAAAAATCCTGAGCCGTGTGTGTGAAAGGCCCTCGTTCGAACCGAGGTTAGGTCATTGGCTTTCGAATATGCCTTTTTACCGTACAGTCGCACACAAGCCAAAAGAATCCCATACTCAAAAAGCTTGACATTGGCAGTGAGAAGTCTTAGTGGTGACATTATCATCGTGTCCACAGCCCTTGCGGTTGCCAAGTGTTACTTGTGTGGAAGTCCCTCGTTTGAACCCAGGTTGTGTCAAGCTTTCAGAATACTCCCGCTTTGTTACCTCACACAAAAGGGATGCGAAGCCGTGTTCAAATTTATAAGAACTAGCAGGGACTCGTGCTCTGCTACGATGAATTGCATCAGAAATAGAAAAAATCAAATATAGCAGGAACCTGCCCAATGGTGTCCCTTCATTGGGTACACCACTCATCACCAACCCTTGGTTGGCTCATCGTGGCTCCTGTGTCAGGTTTCAACACTCACAGATGTTAAGTTACAGCCACTCTCAAAGTTTGATAGGCTCATTTTGAGTGCATTCCGAGTGAGTCAGGTGGCCGAGTACATTTATCCGTCGAAAATTGAGAGGACGGAGCACATTCTGTCGCCACTCGTTGCCAACCTTTGGTTGGCTCCTTGTGGCTCCCATGTCAGTCCAGGAGCACTGACTGATTAATGGTCCTTCCTCGTCATAGATGACCAAGGAGACAGGAGTCTTATTTCCCAGCACCAGTAAGATCTCTGAGTCTAACGGTAGAAATTGGTAAGATATTGAAACCACAGCATCCTATCCCGATATCTCGAAAAGATATTAAATCAGTCGGTACTGAGAAGCAGTTTCAGCCTGCACATTTAGGGCTTGAATGGAGCCCAGAAATTCGGAACTAAGGTAGTATAACAGGCCGCCCTTAGCTTTGAATGAGAGAATATAAAATAGAATTAAAAATCAGCCTGCACCCATGGCATGTTCTAGTCCGCACTTGTGGGGCTGGCCAAATAATGTAAGTAGTCAGGTATTATTGAATCAGTCCGTATCCAAAGGCATGTAATTAGAGCATGATGACAGTGAGCCTGAGCACACAGTCACTTTGAAGTTCTTTCAAACCACCAGCCCTTGCTCGTAGGGTTGTGCAATTAGCAGAGTCAAGAACAGAAAAGGCAGCCCTTCACCCTCAGTCCGCACTTGTAGGGATTGAGCAGAGTCAGTAGATAACAAAGTAGAAGCAGCTTCAATCCCATAGCAAAGAACACATCATCCATGAGCAGTATGGCAGGCGGCGCAAAGTCAAGACAGAGTGTTGTCAGATGTTTGCCTCATGTTTGTCTTAGCATCTGTCTCAGAGACAAAGATCACATGATCCACTGTCTTTTGTATAATAGATAAGATCTAATAGCGAAAATGGTATCACTTCCACTGCACTTGAGCTTGCGATATGTTGTTTATGCGGGAGTCCCTCGTTTGAACTTCTAAGGTTACGTAGGTCATAATTCACCGTGGTACTGATTTTCATTCCTCACCAATTTTCGGAAGAAAATACCGCACCTCCCCAGGGAGAGAAAGACTTAATAACGAAAATGTTATCGTATCCACTGCACCTTGCTTTGCATAGTAGACTTTATATGGAAATCCCGCACTCGAATCGAGGTCAGGTCACCCATAATACCTAAAACCTTTAAAAAAATAGCTTGCTTTATGTGGAAGATGTGGAAGTCATTAGACTTGAGGTGAGGTTCTGCTGTCGTAATCTCCTTTTATTCAACCCACACAAAAAAAAGCTGAAACATTTTCCAAGGGCAGGTAAAGAGAAGGAAGACCTATGGAGAAATCCGGCATCACGTCCACGGGTCCTAGACTAGTACTAGTGTGGTTTGTGGAAGTCCCTCGTTCAAACCGAGATTAGGTTCTCACCCATTTATTCAATTTCTTCTCACCCTACTCGCAAATGTTTTTTTTTTCTTTTTTCTCCTGATTTGGCAGTACGGCAGGTGGTGCGAAATATTCAACTTCCACGTCCACGGTGAATTCTTCTCATTCGAATGCGATGTGGGTGAAAACTCCCCATTCGAGTCGGGGGTGGTCATAACCAATACTGTGTCGTTTGTTTTTTTAGTTCGTCATTGATATAAAAATTGTCAGAGTACAATCTGAAGTGTTCGACAGAGGACCTGTTGGTGAAATCCATGACTCACTCTTGAGCTTGAAAAATTGGAAATAAATTGCTGAGTTGTACAGTACCTCCACATCTCAGTCAAATATTCAACCGAAAGTTTGCGAGGCAAATCAAGGGTCTATTTTGTTAGGGGCCACTTTTTTTTGGTCAACATTGGTATCATAATTGTAACAGTGGGTGACATTCACACCAGCCTGGAGCCTTGGGGGTAGGCCTATGGGTGAAACTGATATCACATCCGCATTGAATGCGCCGCCCAGACATGAGAGCTGTCAGTGGAAGTTCCCTGTTCGAGTCTGGGGCGGGGACCAAATACTACTCGGCCGTTCATTTTTTTTTGTTCGGCACTGGCATCCACGGCCATACAAAAATTGTAACATTAGGCGACATTCGCACCGGCCCGTAGTTGTGGAGAGTGCCTACCGGTCACTCTTGAGCTTGGATGAGCTTGGAGAAAGGCCTGCGAGGACAGACATGAGGTCATTTGAGGGTATAGACGTGCGATCCGTTTTTGGTGAACGTACAGAGCTCAGAGATGTGAAAGCAGCTGGAAGGCGGATACAGAACCCAGCTCGAGTGATTTTAGCACGAACTTTGCAAGCGTGATGAGGCAAATAACTCCCAGAGCAAAAATAATAGATGTGCCAGTGTGTTGCCAGAAGGCATCCAAAGAATTTGACCTATAGAAAACGTTCGTCAGAAATAATGAAATTTAAATTGAATTCAAACGGTTCCACGTGGGTTCCGTTGGCGGTAAATGCGGCGCATTGCAATAGGGTGTTTCAAATAAGGATTTTTGACCCCAACTTGAGCCTCAATTTCGACCCCAACTTCACTCAAGTTGGGGCTCAAGTTGGGACGTCTATTGTGAATGGCCCGAGAGCATGCTTTTGCCTCAGATGCCATGATTTGCATCGTGAAACGGTTGTTAGCGTGAATAACCGAAGTCGGGGAAGAAGTTGGGGCATCAAGTTGGGGTTAAATCAGAGTGCAAGTCGGGCTCTTGTGCCCGATTTGCACTTTTTCGACCCCAACTTCACTTCCAACTTGACCCCAACTTCGTCAAGTTGAGAATCAAGTTGAGGCACAAGTTGGGGACACAAGTCCTTATTTGAAACACCCTAATGGCATCACGGCACCAGCAAAGAAATGCGTGCGAAAAAATCAGAATGAACTCCTGTTTTATAAGCCCGCAGAGCCTCAGAAAATACGAGCGAAGGATGCTAGATATTGGCTAGATACGTGGTGGTAAGGCTCCAACTATTTCCGTTCGCAAACGTTTGCGAACGGTTAAAACCGTCTTTATTTCCTTTTCGTCCGTGGGACTTGACAACAATTTACAGGCACCGAGGGAAGCACTTAACCCATCTCCAATGAACTCTTCTGCTGGTGCAAATGAGTGATTTGTGCTAATAAAATCCAGTTCTGACCTCTCCCTCGCATATCAGGTTGATTTACTGACTTGAATGTTGGACATGAGGCGCTTGTGCCCCATGTGCGTCAAAACTAGACAATGCCCCACTGTATCCCATCGAGAATACCTGTTCCAAATGTCTCAATAGCATATGCCTGGTGCCAAACATATATCTGTCATATGACACCAGGACCCCGAAATATAGCCAGGATGCGCACTGGCTCAAAAATACTGTTTGAAAACCGTTTCTAACCGTTTCTAACGATTTTCATACCGTTTCCGTTTTGTTTTCTCAGATTCGCGAACGGAAACGGAACGGTTGGAGCCTTACGTGGTGGGATGCAGAACGACACGTTGTTTGATTGAGGGAAACACCTGTGAAACACGTGGGATACCAAACACGACAAACACAAATGCATCGCATTTTCTCCTGCCACTCTCTCTTGTGCCACTACCTGCTTTCAAAAACAAGTACAGGTAGGAGCCCAATTAGTTGCTCTACTGAGCTCTAAGCTTTTTGCAGGACCTTCGGTACTCATGGCCGACCCTAATCATCTCGATTCTCTGCTCTCTGATACGACGCGAAGTCGCAATCGAAGCGCTTCAAACGGGAGATCCACCCGGTCAAATATTCGGGGACGCATATCAGAGTTGGATGCGCGCATTCTGGCACTCGAAGAGGCGCTCGCCACCGTCAGGCTGGAGCGGCAGAGCCTGCAGACGCATGTCGACGAATACAAATATCCCATCCTTACCCTTCCCACCGAAATCACGTCGGAAATATT